ATTTCTATTATCTCATATGTTAATAATTTATTATAAATTTCTCTTTTTATATCAGTATTAAGATTTTTTAATATATAAAGTAATAATATCTTATGATCAACATCATCGTTTAATAGGTAAGTTTCCATTTTTATTATTTTCATTTTTCACTAAAATTTTATTCCTTCCAACCTCTTAATAAATTATACTTGCTTATTATGAAAAAATAATGATTTAATAATCATCTCGTCTGGTCACTACTACAGCTTTCTTCTTTGATTAGTTACCCTAACAGCGCTTCAACTTTGTTTACTCCCCTAAACGACCTTCTCTGCCTACCGGTTTCAACCTTAGGATGGCATAGTCTGGGCATACTTATTCGAAGAATATTTCTGTAGCAAACTTTCTAAAGATGGTTATTATAACATTATTCAAACATGATAAATAATTATAATTAACAAGAGATTTTCAAGAATAAATTAATTTAGCTACTCAGCTAATCTCACATATGACGGTTGTATTGATATTATGTTTTCATGCAATTCCTATTGAGCTAATGACTATGATTATACAAGTAATTATTCTCCTATGACCTAAACTAAGTTATAATTATTAAATACAGAAATTAAAAAAATTGACCTATCTTAGCACCGAATGAACTTGACAATGAGAGGTGTTGGCTTCCCGTGGAGGATGAATCACCCTATAGTTTCATATGAGGTGTTGACTCCCCTATGAGAGACACTCACCCTATGGATTCTTATGATATGAGGGATACAATTGTCAATAGGCATGTAAAGGGTTTAATAAATATCTCCTAGTTGTGAGTGCACTATGAAAAATATCTTAAAGTCAAATATTTCAAATATGTGTGAAATATCACCAATTTTTGTCATGAGGGCACTTGAAATATGCGGTTTGGTACAATTCAAAACCTGTGTTTGAAGTAAGATGAACGAATCTTGTCGATCCTTAAGTATGTTTGAGGTACAACATGAAATTGTAGGAATTACCTTGAAAAAATTCCTAAATAAAAAAAGAGAGAATGAGAGATTCAACTACAATCCTAACTATTGGTACCAATTGTAGTCAAGATTTGACTATCTCATCACATTCTTTATTATTCAAAAAGAAAAGAAAAACAAAAAAAATGTGAGCAAGCACCCACTCTTTAATATTTTTCAAACTTTATTTTAGAGTATTCCCATTTAAAAGTTGTCTTTTCGAGTTATTTATTATAAAATGTGTCATTAGGTTAATTTTGTATGTGTGAGAGTCCTATTTTACTTTATGGGGTTGTCCGTCCCAAAAAATGTGACATGTATTTTTTTTCTCTAGGATTTGAATATCACATGGAATATTATTTTCCTATTTTATCATGTTCGTATTGTGCATTTTATACTGATGATCTTGTCTCAAATTCTTAGCAGTATTTATCATCTACAGGATTGGAACTACAACTGACTTGATTTATGGCTCAACAGGATACATAGGCGTCACGACAGCTCGATCATATACCCAGTGTGATTTTTCTTTGTCCTTATAATAAACACTACGACAGAATTTTTGAGAGTATCTAAAAAATTTACAACAAAGGTGTTATCTCCAACAAGTCAAGATTGGAGATCATTTTGAGATATGCCGAAAGTTTTACCTTGGACAGAATTTTTGAGGAAGACCTCAAAAGTACCAATAAATGTTGTGAGAAGTTTGATAGAAACTTCAAAAATCCTTCAATGCTTAATATTCAAAGTCATCTTGCTAATCTCGAGCACTTTTTTTGGCGAGACAGCAGCTCCTCGTACAAATCCCCCATAAGTCTTGAGTCACAATAAACTCAAAATTATCAAGAATAAAATGTTTATTACTTACATGTGTCAAAATGGTCAGGCGTTTGTACACATTCTCTTTTATAGAATCTTTTCTCAAGGTATCTTGACTTAGTCGCAAGCTAAGGCGATATTGTATCACCAATTGTTTCTTTTCAAGTACCGGAACAGGTGAAAGCATTGGGGCAATGAAACTTTCAAGACACACAATTCATCCACCTCATAACAGTGAAAAATCATTGGGTCATCCATCACTTGCATGTTTATTGCATTTTTCATTTTCTGAGATGGCCATTGCATTTTTCATTTTCGGAAAGGATAATTGTTTTTTTTTCATTTTCCAAGAGGGCAATTGCTTTTTTTATTTGTAGAGAGGGTCATTTTATTTTTTTACTAAGAAGGAGATCGCATATTTTATTAGCCGAGAGGGCCATTGCATTTATTTACCGAGAAGGCAATTGCATTTTATTTTCCGAAAGGGTCATTGCATTTTTATTCCGAGAAGGCGATTGCATTTTTATTTGCCAAGGCCAATGTATTTTTTATTTAAAAAAAGGTCATGCATTTTTCATTTACCAAAAGGGTAATTCATTTTTATTTTCAAAGAGGGTCATTGCATTTTATTTGTCAAAAGGGTCATTGCAGATTTTATTTATAAAAAAGGTCATGCATTTTTCATTTTAACAAAAAGGTCATGTATTTTTTATTTAACAAGAGGGCCATTGCATTTTTCATTCGCCAAGAAGGTCATTACATGTATGTCTCATATATTCGAAGATGAAGGATTTGACTTATATATTTTCAACGTTCAAAATGGCGGAAACTTGCATTGAAGGATATCTTCATTTAAGTCATGTTTAGTGGTGAAGGATGTACACCATATCTTTTCAACATTCAAGTTGGTGGAAACTTGCGTTGAATGATATTTGCATTTAAGTCGCATCTATTCAGTGGTGAAGGATGTGCACCATATCTATTCAACGTTTAGGTTAGTAAAACTTATGTTGAAATATATTTTCGCATCTATTCGTAGGTGAAGGATGTGCATCATATCTTTTTAACGTTCAAGTCGGTGAAAATTTTCTTTGAAAGATATTTGCATCAAAGTCGCATATATTCAGTTTTGAAGAATGTGCACCATATCTCTTCAACGTTCAAATCGCTGGAAACTTGCATTGAAAGATATTTGCATTTAAGTCTCATCAATTCAGAAGTGAAGTATGTGTACCATATCTTTTCAACGTTCAAGTCGGTGGAAACTTGTCTTGAAAGATATTTGCGTTTAAGTCGCATCTATTTGGTGTTTAAGGATGTGCACCATAACTTTTCAACGTTCAAGTCGGTGAAAACTTACATTGAAAGATATTTTCATTTTAAGTCACATCTACTCAGAGGTGAAGGATTTTCACCCTATCTTATTCCACGTTCAAGTCAGAGGAGACTTGCGTTGAAAGAATTTCATTCGTCGTACCGATGGACATACATTCAAAATCCTACCGACGGATCATATTTTTTTTCTCATTTGTCCTACAGATGGACATACATTTTAAAATCGTACCGATGGATTATCTTTTTTTCTCTCGTCCTACCATGGACATACATTCCAATCCTATCAATGGATCATCTTTTTTTCATTTGTCCAACCGATGGACATACACTCCAATCCTACCTATGAATTATCTTTTTTCATTCATCCTATCGATGGACATACAGTCAAATCCTACCAATGGATTTTCTTTTTAACTCGTCCTACCGAAAGACATACATTCAAAATCCCATCGAAGGATCATCCTTTTTCATTCGTCCTACCGATAGACACGCATTCAAAATGCTACCGACGAATACCTTTTTATTCTTCTTATCGATGGACATTCATTTTTATCCTACCAATGGATCATCTTCATTTGTCGTATTGTAAGAGATGTGTTCTTCTTTCCTGCAATTTCGTCTCTACTAAGGAGTTTCATCTTTGTTTTTTCGAGAACAATCAAGAGGATGCATTCTTGGTGGAGCTATAAGTGCGGACTACTACAACAAGGACGTGACGCAACATGGAATCTTTTGGAGGGAAGTCTGGGATCGACTTCAATCACGATCTAACCAAATTTTTATAAAAATAAAAAACAAAAGGTTGTGTGTTTGACCAAAATGAAGTTTGTCAATTTTCGGTGTTTACGATTTCTTTCATCAATCATATCCAAATAAAGAGACAGTTGTTAACACCCAATTTTGACCTAACATTTTATAAAAAATCGTAATTTTAAGTTTATTTATTTAGTAGTTCAAAATATGTATTTTTTTAAATTTTAAATAAGTCTATTGATAACTATCCTTATTTGTCAAAATTTAGGATATTTTTATCAGTTATTCTTAATTATATTCTTCACAACTGGTTGAATATGTTGAATTTTTTTTTTTGATTAAAACGTTATTTTTGCTAAATTCATGTCAATAGTCATATTTATTATATACAATTTTTATACTTATTTTATTCATTATATTTGTTAATATTTATTTTATATTTTACACAATCTAAAATATTATTTAAATATTATGATTGAATTTTGCATACGAAGATTGATTAATAATTTTTGGGCCATAATGTTAAGCCCATAATACTAACAATTCACTATTTAATAACAATTAGGTCAAAAACAAGTGTGATGGATAATTTTTAAAGAGCAAACAAGAAAAGCCCAATATACTTTTTTTCCTATGATACTCCAAAGAATAGCTGCCAAAATTCCCTCCAATCATCTTTTCCAGTGAGCTTCACGTCTTTATCTCCAAAGTTTGCAAACTTTACTCACGCCAAACGGCAGACATAAACACCCACAACCACCCCTCTTCTCTCCAACCGGGACTCCCTCTCCCTCTTCTCTTCTCCATTCCCAGAAACCCACCAAACAACCGACTAAAACAACTCTTAAATCTCGTCCTTTTCCAACCGAAATCCCCCAGCATGATCCACCATTGCTCCACCAACCAAGATCGTAAACCAACCACCATTTCCATTCACAAAACCACCAACTAAGGCCTCCAAATAACCCCAATTTCAGTGCCTTCTCTATTTTCTGACCGAAGCAACTCCAAGTGATATGCCAACACCAAGAGTAGTTGACCCTCACTACAACTCAGCTCACCGAAAAATCACCTCCCAAAATCACCCTCGTCCCCGGCAAAACCCCAACGAAATGGACCAACAACAACCAAACAACCTTCGATGAAGCCAAAAATCAACAAAAAACTAGAACTACAATATGCCAGCAGATTCCGACCTCTAAACCCTGTTTTGAGGGTGTATGAGCTCTGACGACCACCACAAAGTTTAAGTCTCCAAGATCCAATGGATAGCGAAACCATCACAAACAAGATTTGTCGGCCAATAGTTTTATATCCATCTCAAGTTCATCGTTTCCTATTCTTTTTATAAAAAACATATTTTTTGTTTAATTTTGGTTTAAATGTTAACTATTACTTAGGTCGGATTCACTTTATATTTTTATTTTTCTAATGCTATTATGTTCTTTTTGTTTTTGATTTATATTTCTTTGCTACATTTAATCTTCCATGTTTTGTCCATTTTTATTGGTTTTATTTAGTTATATTGTTTATTTTATTTATATATGACATCTATTAATTTATTAAGGCTGACGCTTTTTTTTAGAGCTTCAGTGAATTATTTGTGGATTATTTCGTTTATTTCATTGTACTATGTTTTGTTTGAAACTCTTATCAACACTACTGCATTCTCTATTTTTAATATCTTAAATCTGATGCAATTTAATTTAGTTTTATGTCTATGTCATGGTATTTGTTTATTTCTTCCTTGCTGTTAATACACTTCAATTTGCTATTGTCTAAATGTTTGTTTTTATAAAAAATATATTATTATGTTGACTTTGTATACTTTTTATAATTATTCTCGTGTTTGTGGAATTGATTATTCCATTTACCCATTATTTGCTCTAGTTTTTTTAGTTTCCTTATTTTGATTATTCGTCATTCATCATTTACATATTCATTTTTTATGTTTTTTTCTCTAGTTAGTGCTACTAATTAACTCTCAAGATATATTTTAATCTTTTGTTAACTTGTGTGGTTTTGGTAAAGTTTTATGTTACTTTTATTAACCATCTTATTATTTTATTATTTTAATTTACTTGCCAATATGGTTGTGGTTGCTCTAGTCGTATGATCATGGGTAGCGTGTCTCATGTAGAAGAAGCCAAGAAAGACCTAGTGAAAGATGTTCATAGGTTGGCTCGTTTGGGTGTTAGATTGGAAGATTCTCTAATTGGTGGTTTAATGATCCATCATAACTCTGAATTGTCTTTGGTGGTTGAGGTGACATCTAAGAAACACCTTGATGAACCATTGATAAGTTGAAGGAGTCAGTTCTTGGTAAGCTTAATGAGTTATTCTCCTTAGGGGTAATGGTGTCTTGAGATATCAAGGAAGATTATATTTGCCCAATATGGATGACTTGAGAAATCGGATTCTTGAGGAATCTCATGGTTCCCGTTATCCCATTCATCCGGGTTCTACAAACATGTATAATGACCTTAGAGAAATGTTTTGGTAGGAAGGCTTAAAAGGGGATATAGTATAATTCTATATGGGTGGTTGTGGATAGGTTGACCAAATCCTCTCCTTCTATTCCCGTCAAGTCTACCTACTCGGCGGAAGATAATGCAAGGATCTTCATAGATGAGATTGTGTGTCGCCATGGTATTATGTTATCCATCATATCGGATAGGGGTGCACAATTCACATCTAGGTTTTGGAGGTCGTTTGTAATGACCCCAAAAAATGAAATACGTCAAACTAGAGCTTCACATCTTCTTCATGAATTAATAGTGTATCTAAATAGTGCATATAATCACTAAAAGTCAGTTTGTGAAGTTTGGAATTCAAACGTCCAAAAAGTCCAACACAATCGGAAAATGTGCCTTGGAATGTGCTAGTGTATCCTTCATTTTGGTGCATGTTTTTGGGTAGTGTTTGCTATCTAATACCAGTGGGGATGAGCCTAGTACCTACCAAGTGTCAAAATGTTCGAGTACGACTCCTCCGGGATGACCCTAAGGGACCCCAAGGAGGACACAAACGTTTGACAAAGGAGCAGCCCAAGGCAGTGTGTAGGGGAAGATTTTGAAGCCCAACTCGCAATGCGCCTGTAGAACGAGGCACACTGCCTCAAAATGCTGAAAGCCAAGAATCAGCAGATCCCTCCTTGACGCGCATCGAAGACCTCTTTTTGGCCGCGTCGTTTTTAAGTAAAATTTGAATTTTAAAAAGGATCCAAATAGTGTAGGGATTCTTTGGAAACTATGGGGATCATTTATGGACTGATTTAGGTCATTTTAAACCTAATTTCACCCACCAATTCAAACCCTAAAGATCAAATAAAATTTCTCCAAAAACCTCCATTTTCAAGAAGCTTCAAGCTCCAAGGAAGAGGACCAAGTTCTTCACGTTTTCTTCACCAAATTTCGTGGGTTTCTTCATATTAAGGTATGGTAGTCTTCCTTGAACCTTCTTTCATTCAATGAGTCATTTCAAAGAGATTTCAAAAGGATTTAAACTTCAACATTCTTTATTCATTGACTTTAACTATGGGTCTTTGCATGAAAATACTTTAATGATTAAAATGAGTCGTAGTTAGCTTTAAATGGTAATTTTTACGTCAAAACCCCAATGGAATCATGTTTATTCTTTTTACCTACTTTTCGCTTATGAAATAGGTTTAATGAGTATGATTAGATAATGTTAAAGTTATTGTTTATTGGTGGTTTTATTGAGTTTTAGATGCTTCCCTAAGGGATATTTTATGATGGGTTATTGGATATATTGTTAATATGTTTTAAAGGCTTTGATAAAGGGTAACTTGTTCTATCTTGGTTAAGTTATGTTGAAGTAACTCTTGAGTGGTATGGTCCACCTTTGTTGACGGTGTTTAGTTGATGTATATGAAGTTATATGTGTACTGTGAAAATAGCCTTGAAGGCATGATATGTGATGTGAATTGATGATTTTGATATGTATATTTATGATATGTATTTGAAGGTTGAATTGAGTATCGTGAAGGGTTTATATATAAATGAAGTATGTATTTGAAATATGAATTATGATAATGTGTAAATTGTGATATATGTGAGTATGAGCATGTCTAGAAATCAATGTTATGAATGATGGTCATTATGGAAAGGTGTGCTCACATGTACTCACACACACAAAGAGACACTTGAATGCATGAATGAAGTCAATTAATGAAAATGGGGTATTGTAGGGTAGACACTCTTCATGAGTAGAGATGAAGTGTCTAGACCATCCCAACTATTCCTAAGCATGAAAAAGGGGGATTTTTGAGTGAACACTCTTAGTGTGTTGAGAGAAGTGTTTAGTAGCAACCTCACTTTTCTCGATGAGCTATTCAAAGATATGTTAGAGGTTTGATACCTTTTCTGAGTTGAGAAGGGGTGTTCAATAGTTATATCTTAACCTATAGTAAATGAATGTGTAAGATTCTGTGGGGGAGTTATACTTAGCACCAAGAGGATTTGAAGAAGGGATAGGTACACTTCGTGAGTAAAGATGTTGAGTCAAATGTACCTCTTGAGATGGGTGCTTCTCGTTAGTAGAGAATGAGTTACTTAGTACCAATCTCCTTATCCCTTAACTATGCGCCCGCGTAGGTGTGTAGCTATTGGAGAATCCATGTAAAGGCTAAAGAATATGACCCTACCTTAGATATGTAGGCATCCCTCATCTGGTAAGGGTAGTATCGGGATTTCACGTCTTTCTCTCATGGTCTATGTCGGTTTCAGCTAGCCCCCACAAATGTATCTTAATTAACCAAGTCTTCTTAAGGGTGTACTACTTAGGGTAGTTTATGGAATGGGACGTTACCTATCCATTTCACAAGTAGCAATTTGGAGGGAGTCTTGGTGTCTCGTTATATGAAATGTATAAATGAGTCATGATATGATGTAAATGAAAGTAATGTGACTTTATCTTTATTGTCAAGGAAGCATTTTGATGTTATCACTTGTATGATGAAAGCCTAAATGTGATGAATGTGATGTGGCTATTCTAATGTTATTCCTAATAAGCACTAAGTGGAAGTGGTAGTATGGATGTTACTTTCACATTGCACTAAGTGTAAATTAGGGGTTTCCTTGGAGGATGGTTCTTATATGAAGTTCCTAAGTATATGTATGTTTTGGTAGTGTCTTGATATTGAGTTGTGACTTGTGTAAATGAAAATAAGTATGCTTATCCATAGTAATCTTTAGGATCTCCTAAGTAGGTATTGAGGTGATTGTATAGGCAATTTCCTTATGTCTTACATAGGGGAGCCTTAGGATAACTTAGGATATGAGTAGTTCATGTGTAATTTTGGGTTTACTGTAAGTATACTCTTATGTTAAGAAAAATTGAAGTTTTACCTTCTATGCTAAATAATAATACTATATGATGTTTTGTAATTTAATTCATGAAGTTTTTTTATAAAAATAACAATACTTGTATATAACAACTAAATTGTCCCTTTTTGCATGATTTTTGCATAATGACATACTTAGTACAATGTTTGTTAATACCTCGTACTTTTCTATCTATATAAGTTGGAGGCAAGTTAAAGTTTAGAAGGCAAACTTGGGAATCAACTCTCTCAAGTCTAAGTGTTTCCTCATATATTTGAGGGCATAGTCTATATTTCTTTAATTCTTCTTTGTGAATCATATTAGACTATTTATGTATTTATTTCAATGTAAAGGGTCGTCTCCCTAAGATTTTTAAGGTGTGTCTGTAAGATTGGCTTGTGACGACGTGACTTATTCTTTAGCTTTTATAAAAGATGTTTCTTATGTAATGAACATGAGTTGAGGACTTGTACAAGACCCCAAAGAGTCTAGTTCGCCCAGTCATGACCCGAGGTTCTCCCTAACTTCTAGGGGGGTACTTTTGGGTCGTCAAAAGTATGTTGATGTTATGACTTTTCTGATGAAAGCCTAATATGTGATGAATGTGATGTGCCCATTCTAGGGTTATTCCTAAGGAGCACTAAGTGGAAGTGGTAGTATGGGATGCTACTTTCACATTGCACTAAGTGTAAATTGGGGGTTTCCTGGAATAGGGCTCTTATGTGAAGTTCATAAGTATATGTATGTTTCTATAATGTCCTGATATTGAGTGGGGAGTTGTGTAAATGAAAAGAAGTACGCTTATCCATAGTAATCTTTAGGATCTCCTAAGTAGGTATTGAGGATATTGTATAGGCAATTTCCTTATGCATAACTTAGGGGAACCTTAGGATAACATAGGATAGGAGTAGTTCATGTGTAATTTTGGGTTTACTGTAAGTATGATCTTATGTTAAGAAAAATTGAAGTTTTACCTTATGTACTAAATGATAATACTATATGATGTTTTGTAACTAATTCATGAAGGTTTTTATGAAAGTAACATGACTTGTATGTTTCAACTATATTGTCCCTTTTTTGCATTATTTTGCATAATGCCATACTTACTACAATGTTTATACTAACCCCGTACTTTTCTATACTCTATAAGTATAGGTTGGAGGCAAGTTGAAGTTTAGAAGGAAAGCTTGAAAATTGACTCTCTCAAGACTAAGTATGTCCTCATATATTCGAGGGCATAGTCTATGTTTCTTTAATAATTCTTTAAGACTCGTATTAGACTATTTATGTATTTATTTCAATGTAAAGGGTTGTGTCCCTAATATGTTTAAGGTGTGTCTTTAAGATTGCCTTGTGGCCATGAGACTTATTCCTCAGCTTTTATAAAAGATGTTTCTTATTATTATACTTTGGTGAAACGTTTAAATTCCGAAAAACTTTTCATACTTTATGTAATGAATGATAGATAAGAGGCTTAGTAAGACCTCAAAGAGGTCAAGCACGCCTTGTTCCAACCTAAGATGTAACAGCCCGTCTGACGTATATGCCTGTTCTATTCTTATATGTGTTTGCTATTGTTTTATGAGGCTCACAGTGTGATAACTGCTAATTTTAGTTTACCATGACTCAAATTATAGATTAAAACTGAAAAGGAGAGGCTGAATTGTGATAGTTATATCGGTCAGAAGATAAGGTATGTAAGGTTATTCGATTCGATATCCTTTTGCCATCAAAACTGATACTTGCGATTAATACTAATAAAGTGAATCTCATAAGTTCTATTCCTAGAAAAGGAAACATAGTGGCAGCGCACTATCTACAAATATCTAACAATATTTCCCCCTCTCCGTAGCACACAGAACTACTTCATTATATTATACTTGTGTAGTTACCCCCCCCCCTATGTGTTGGTATAGAAATGTTATTTGCAAAAGCAAGTCTTGTGAATCCTCCTCTTTGTTGTTTGATGTCAATTGTGACATTAAGCTCTTAAAGTTATGTTTTGATGTTACATAGCTCCTTATGTCATTGTTATTTCCTTGAAGTATTATTTTCATGTCTTCTATTACTAGTCCATACTTCCGTATCTCCAAAATGGTTATGACCACCAAAATAACATCTCTAAAGAGTTATGATTATGAAAAGAACAATCCCAAAAGAGTTATGAACTGATAAACAACAATCTGAAAAATTAAAGAATCTAAGTGAATAAATCTATATACAAGTGGCAGCCCAGGGGCGAAAGCCTGGCATAGGTTCATCCCAACTGGTACATAAGGGTGGCAGATCAAGGGCGAAAGCCTAGCATGGGCCAATCCTAAATTGTGTAATTATGAGGACTGCATCCCAAGGGTTAATATTCCTAGCATGGGTCATCCGCTTCTACCACTGATCACCTGGTCACTTGTATCACATGCCCTACAAAGATTATAACATACAAAAAGTAACGAAAACAATGTAACTTACATGATCTCACAAGAGTAAGCAAAGATTGTCTTCTCTGTTGATCTATGCACTCATATGTTGATACTTGATTTCATTTGAGCCCTCGTATTACATATGTTATATTGCCTTAAATATTTAGTAAATTTTTTCGTACTGACGTCCCTCACTGGGAATGCTGTATTTTATGATGCAGGCTTAGGTACTCCAGCTAGTACACCTCCTCAGTAGGAGAATACGACACTCAGATACTTTTGGTGAAACTTAGTTTGATTCGTAGCTAACTGAGTCCTTGGTAAATTCATTTTGGTATTGTATCATAGTAAAGGGTAAGGAGGGGTCTGTCCCGACCTAATCTAGGTCTTCTATCTTTTTTAGAGGCTTTGTAGACGTATGTACATGGTTTAGTTGTGTCTTAAGGAGTTGTGGCCTCAATCGCCAAGTCTTGTATATAACTTTTTGGGTCTACTTATGTTGGTTTATCGCTGCGTCCTTTGTGAACTTGTCAAGAGATTTATAGTTATATACATAGTAAGAAAAGATTTCAAGTTCGTTTTCTCGGGCCCTTAGGCCATCGGGTGCCTATCTGTCTTATTGGGATTTAAGGTTTGACAAAAGTGGTATCAGAGCATGTCATCCTAGGGAGTCTACAAAGACGTGTCTGTTTAGAGTCTTTCTTATGGATGTGTCATGCACCATATGTATAAACAGAAGGCTACGGAACATGTTGCAGTTGTCTCACTTATTTTATTTCTTAGATCGTGCGATAGAACCAATGTTGTAGGTGAATCATACCTAATTTTCAAATTGTTTTATTATAGAAAATATGCCGGTTACGAGAAGGAGTAAAAGTACTGGTAAGCGAGTAGATGTGGCTGCCCAAGAAGGGACCAGCCAAGCTGTTCAAAGTGGGGCTCAAGATGAGTCTTTATTGCAAACTTCCCCGACGCCTCCATCTACTAAAGAACTAATGAGGGAAGATGAACTTCAGGAATCCCTTATTAATGCTACCGAGCCAAATTTGAGGAATGCAGTCCAATTATTGACTCATATAGTTACTGGTCATGGCCAAAGGCAAAAAGGTCCAATTGTAGGTACTAGCGGTGTAGATAGAGAAGATGAAACACAGATACGTTATTTTCTTAACTTGGACCCTCCATCAATCACCGGGTCAGATCCTAATGTAGATCCGCAAGACTTCATAGATAAGATCAAACACACTTTGGATATTATGCATGTAAGTGGTAAAGAAGCACTTGAGCTAGCAGCATATAGATTAAAGGGTGTGGCTATATTTTGGTATGAATCTTGTAAGCAATCTAGGGGAACGGATGCACCTTAAGCTACATGGAAAGAGTTTAGAAAGGTATTCCTTACCCATTATCTTCAATTGGAGATCTAAGAGGCCCGCGTGGGTGAGTCCTTAAATCTCCACCACGGAGGTATGAGCGAGAGAGAGTACAGTCTCAAATTCAATTCTTTGTCCAGATATGCTCCTAATGTAGTAGCTACCATGGAGGATAGAGTTCATAGATATGTGGATAGATTAGACCCATATTAAGTTAGAAAATGTACCATTGCTTCATTGAATAAAGATATGTTTATATAGAGATGAGCCTTTCCTCAAAAGTTCGAGGATCAAAGGCAAACAAGAAGGACATAGTCAAAAACATGGCATTCTAAGAGGGCCAGATCCATGGGGCAGTTTAAAACATACCAAGGTGAGTTTAGGCCTTAGTTCTTTAACAGACCACCTAGGCCATCATCTTTCTACTCTACAGCTAGTGCTCCACCCCAATTTCAAGGGTTTAGGGGCAATCAGTTTGGGGCAAAGAAGTGAAAGACAAGGCTCACAAATAGTGGGTCATCAAGAGTATGGAAGTACGAGCCAATAAAGGCCTCCTCGACAACCTTGTAAATAGTGTGGGAGGAATCAACTGGGTGCATGCAGGTTTGGACAGATTTTTGTTTTTGGTGTGGCGCACCAGGGCATATGATGAGAAACTACCTTCATAGGGGCGTGGGTGGCATTGCACAGCCAACTAGATCAGTTGTTGAATCAAACTCATTAACACCTTCTTTGGGTAGGGGGATACAGATGCCTACATATCGTGGTAGAGGATCTAGGGGAGCAGCTAGTTATAGTGGAGGTTAGAATCGCACATATGCACTAGGCGATTGACAAAATTCAGAAGCCTCACTAGATGCGGTTACAGGTACATTGTCCATCTTTTCACATATTGTATATGCATTAATTGATCCGTAGTCTACACTATCTTATGTTACACCGTTGATTGCTAGAAAGTTCAAAAGAACACTAGAATTATTAGTGAAGACATTTGAAGTGACTACACCGAATGGTGAGTCTATTATAGCTACAAGAGTTTATAGTAATTGCATTGTAATTGTTTGTGATCGCGAAACATTGGCTGACCTTGTTGATCTAGACATGGTAGATTTTGATGTTATAATGGGTATGGATTGGTTAACTTCTTCTTATGACACGGTAGATTGCCGATCTAGGATAGTTCATTTCCAGATTCCAAAAGAGGCAGTCCTCGAATGGAAAGGTAATATTGGGGCGCCAAGACGTAAATATATTTCTTATCTTAAGGCAAAGAAGATGATTTCCAAAGGATACATATGTCACCTGGTAAGAGTGAAAAATCTAGATGCAAAGCCACCAATCTTTCAATCTGTTCCAGTGGTAAATGAATTTCCCGATGTGTTTACTGAGGATCTTATAGGGTTGCCTCGACAATGAGAAGTAGAGTTTTGTATTGATGTGCTTCCAAATACACAACCTATCTCAATTCCTTTGTATTGAATGGCTCCGGCAGAAATACGGGACTTGAAGGAGCAATTGAAAGACTAATTAGAAAAAGGATTTACAAAGCCTAGTATGTCCCCATAAGGAGCACCAGTTTTATTTGTATGCAAGAAAGATGGATCATTAAGAATGTGTATCGAATACCGGCAGTTGAATAAGGTAACAATTAAGAACAAATATCCCCTCCCCAGAATTGATGATTTGCTTGATCAGTTACAAGGTGCTAGGTGTTTTTCATATATATATATATATATATATATATATATATATATATATATATCCAAGAGAGCTTTCCGAACACAGCATGGTCATTTTGAGTTCTTAGTCATGTCATTCGGGCTAACAAATGCACCAACAACTTTTATGGATTTGATTAATAGGTTGTTCAAGATATTTTTAGATGTATTCTTAATAGTGTTCATAGATGACATTTTGGTGTATTCAATATCGGAAGAGAATCATGCTAATCACTTGCCGCAGGTTTTATAAATTCTCCGTGATTGTAAATTGTATGCAAAGTTCTCTAAATGTGAGTTATGGTTGAAATCTGTGGCATTCCTAGGTCATATTGTATAAGATGAAGCAATAAGGGTTCATAACCAGAAGATAGACGCAGTGAAGAATTGGCCAAGACCTACAACGCCTACAGAGACCCATAGTTTTCTTTGATTAGTAGGTTACTAGAGAAGGTTCGTTGAAAGATTCTCTTCCATCGCTGCACCCTTAACAAAACTAACACACAAAGATACCAAGTTTCAATGGAGTGATAAATGTGAAAGAAGATTCCAAGAGATGAAGAGTAAATTAACTTCTACACCTGTATTGGTACTTCCAGAAGTCACGAAAGTATATGTAGTGTATTGTTATGCTTCTGGAGTGGGATTAGGTTGTGTATTGATGCAGCATTGTAAAGTTATAGCCTATGGCTCAAGTCAGCTGCGGCCACATAAGAAAAATTATCCAACCCATGATTTAGAGCTAGCAGCAGTTGTGTTTGCTTTGAAGATATGGTGCCACTACTTGTATGGAGTACATCTTGACATATACACTTATCACAAAAGCTTGCGATATATCTTTAAGTAGAAGGACTTATGTCAAGATGGAATCAGACCCCAGATGAGACCGGCGTCCTAGACCTTTCAGAGGTCGCAGACAAGCCTACATATGTCATCTTTACTTCATCTAGGTTAATTTTGCTGAAAATTTGAAATTTTTGTTATTTAAAATTCGTATAAAACATTCTATTTAAACTCATTTATTTTCACAATCAACCATCTAACATTAAGATAATCAAATAAAAGAAATAGTTCATCGCTGCATTAAATGTGTACTTGCCAAAACGGCACCACTACAAAATCTGAAATGAAGTGGGAAATGAAACACTAGTGGAACATGCTCAACTAGCTAAGAACTGCATCTAAGCTAGATAATAACAGTAGACAGCCTCGAAAGCATGAGGGTCTACCAAGTCCGGATGAAAGCTCCACGTCGGGATAACTGTAATGTTCTACCATACGATCTAACATCCACCTGTGCCTGCACCTAAAAATGGATACTTGTATGGAATTAGTACACACTTGTACTAAGTATGGGCATATACAAGCACACACCAAGGACATGCATGAGTAAGAATAGTTCTTTCCTAAAAACATGATTTATGGAAAGTCAAGTCAATGGACTTACCAAAATTGGATTAGGAAAGTCAATGGACCTGCCAAATTTGGATTAGGAATGTCATGCCATGAGTGTAACATGCATCATCAAATATATCATTTTGCAAACAGCACATAACATATTTCACATATCATATCACGTAGTTCATATCATTCTTTCATATGCCATGAGACCTTGGAATCATGGACTTGACATTAGGACTTCCCAAAATGAGGGCTCAACATATGGGACCTCACCTAGGGATCCTTCTTTAGCAAACACAAAGTATACTTCATTCATACATACGTACTTCATTTTTAATTCTTTCATATAATAGTGTAATCACCAGTCCTATCTAGGATGTAGTTTAAGACTCTCATCGGGTTTTCTTTGCAATGATCAAGAATAACCTAGCGTCATTACTTAAGTCTATCTCACCTCTTGAATATCCTATTCTTACACCTATGGTACCGTTCATTTCATTATGTGCATCATTTGAGGCTGGCCTCATTCATTCTTTGGGAACTTTAACTTTAACCGGTATAGATCATGTGAGCATCATGAAATTCAGTGTCTCCCCCACACCGAAAAGAAGTGGAATCACCAGCCAAAGTGACCCAAAACATGCTAGCGTACATATGAATTGAACCCCGCCAGATCCCTATATTGGCAGTATACGTTTGAAGACTAGGAGATATAAGGAGACATATACCCAGCATGCCGGATAGTCTCATCTCATGAGAGTTACGTGAACCTCCGCCCTTCCCGAAAGAAGGCATCACTTCTTATAGCTATCCTATCGGTGTTCATTATAAAGTTCCATTACGTTCAACTCATACATCACGGAAGTTGGCTTCTAGCATGAGGACATCACAGAACATTAGATGATTTCTCATCTCATCATTAGTATTAAGTATGCATTAACTTCAATACTTTCATTAGCGTGTTCATATAGACTGGTCTCTTCATTAACTTTACTCTCTCATAGGTGAGTATATTTTGGCAACATTTACTTAGAATCATTTGAGATTGCTCTCATCTTTCACATTAGCCTCTTATCATGTTGTCACCACATTGATTAACTTTAGCACATTTTCTTTTCATAATTACTCACCCCTTTACATGAATGTTCATTTCATCATATGCCAATGCACTTGTCCATTTAGTGTGTTTCACACTCTTACTTAACCCCTTCTAGGTTTTACATCATTTCATCACATACATCTTAGGTTCACTTACTTTTAAACTTATGCCTAGACTTATGAGTTAACACATACATGCCATGAGGCTTCATTCATAGTTTGTCTAAGTGATTCATGTTTACCCAAGATTATGTGGTACAAGACTTATGCATCTTGTAGATATGCCAAGATATTGATTTTGATCTTTTGAGGTAGCATTCATTAAATATTTGCTTACGTATGACTTATGTGTCAATACGGAATTGGGTAAGGGACCCAATTTCGAATCACTTGAACAACACTTAATCTTATTTTAAACTTGATAATTGCATTTTTCAAATTTGGGAGACCCTAGTTAGATCCAACCCCATAATATTTCTTTCTTGTTCCTGTCCCCTTTTTCTTTTTAAGGCAAGGAGGTTGTGGGTTCAATCCCCCACAAGCTCGTTATTTTTCTTTTAATTTATCTCTTAACTTTGTTACCTATCCAAGAGGTTGTGGGTTCAATCACAACTCTCCACATTTATTCTCCTTTATTTTTCTCCTAACTCTCTCATCAATTCAAGAGGTTGTAGGTTCAATCGCCACTCTCCACATTTTATTTTCTCCTTTATTTTTCTCCTAACTCTCTCATCCATTCAAGAGGTTGTGGGTTCGAATCCCCACAACCTCACTTTATTTTAATTTACATTTTCTCCTTACCTTATCATTCTTCCAAGAGGTGGTGGGTTAGAATCCCACTACTCTCAGTATTTTTATTATTTTAAAATTTCTCTTTACTCTCTTATTTGGTCGAGAGGTTGTGGGTTCGAATCCCACATCTCTCATTTTTTTTAGCTTTCATCTAGTGAGGTCTTGGGTTCAATCCCCACTGACCTCACATATTTTAAATTTATTTTGAACTTCTCAAACCTCAAGTGTTCTGGCCGAAACAACATCACCAAGTGCTGGAAATTTGACTAAAATTTCTAGCCTTGATTTACCAACATTTATACATTCGTTTTGTGGTATTTTCACAATTTGTTCAACGTGTTTTTAAGTGTAGATTCATTGTTGTTTTAGCTTAGATTTTTCCACTTAAGATCAGCCACCTTACACTTCATTTAAACAGCACAAATTACAACCCCACCCCCTCCCCAAAAAAATAATTTTGCTTTTTAAAAATATTTTCAACTTCAAATT